TATAATGTCAATGTATAAAAGATTTTCTTTTCAATATTTATTACTGTGAACATGGTATTTACACTTTGTTACATCTTTTTTTTTTTTCTTTTCATTTTGGGACAAAGGTTAATGTATTAAGGACCATATGGTTGAAAACAAGATGCCGAATTTTTGATGGACTGTTTCACTATTTAACTTAATTCTTTTCTATATGGAGAAATAAAAGTTTGATTTATTGCTGACATCTTTAATACGTCTCCTCTGATTGTTAATGTGTAAATTTATTGAATTCAACAAGTCATTTTCAGAATCTAACAGACTACATTTAAGAATACACGCCAGTACACATTAAGGCCCAAATCACACAAAGTGTTTCAGCAGCTGGAGGCGGCTTTTTGTAATTGATTTTAATGAGAATGAAGCTTTTTGCTCGCTGTTTTTGTGTTGCTACACACCTTTCATTTCTACACTCTAAGCGCCTGGCGTTTTTGCCTGGGTGCTCTGAACTCCTCAAGTTTAAAAAAAACTTTAACTCAGAGCAGAAAAACAACCCAGGTCATCTCTGCCTTTTCCCCATTGTCCAATCAGATGATTTGAGAGGTGGGCCTTCTGTGGTGGTCACAACAACAAGTTTACAGTTGGGAAACAATGGAGGAGAAACTGGTGGTAGCTGTTGCTGGATATCCAGAGCTATACGGCCCAATGATAGACTGCAGGTTGTCAAACTGCCCCTGAGTCATCCTAAAATATGCCTGGAAACAGCCTTCATGGAGGAGGAGCTCCTGGACCAACTGGTGGTACTCCCTATGATCCACCCTCTTTTTTAGGGTCTCATGTTCCCACACAGATCTCTGTTTCTCTGTGACCAACAAACTATTTACTGACAGCCTCTCACCCTCAACCAGAGCTACAGACAGTACCCTCTGCCTCAACATTTTAGGAACTAGATCCTAACTACTGTCAACAGTACATTGATTACACGGAAATGTTAGGAGGTGATGGATAGGTTGCCTGGCATCAATAAAAATGTGCAGCAGGCGTTTCATTCTGTTAAAAAAAAAAGGCAGTACAGCGCGCCTTGTCCTGTGTGATCAGTGCCTAAAGAAGTATTTCACTGCTGGAAAGATGGTATTTTCAGAAAACTTGGCTGTCTATGCAGGAGAAAGATGGAAATACTTGTATAATTGGTGCAACATGACCAGAGAAAACAGAGAAAAGGGGCTGTAGCATTCACTTTTGCTGAAGTAGTAGAAAACCTACAATTACCAGAATGCACTGTGTCGCACTGGACCAACCAGGTGTGTGTCATAGCATTGTGCGCAGACAAACTTTGTTATCTTCCCCCAGAGATCCCTGCCTGTCCGATGGTGGGGGTCCAGCGGCTGGTGGCACGGGGCGAAGCCAATCATCGTTCATCTGCACACACTGCGATGCCACACAGCTGGTTCAATAACAGCAAAGTTTCCCTTTATATTCATTGTCTTGTGTGGTGATCAGCAGTGATGTGGTGGTTCACTTTTACACTGTGATCTGAAGCCTGTAGTTCGGCTTTAGCTTCTAACTATCTTTGTCTTTTTAACCTGTTGTTGCTGCTGAGTCAGTTTGACATCCTGGATATATCCTTCAAACACAGACTGTAGACCCCTCTGTCTGCTTCTCTCTGGAATCACTCTTTCATTTTTCCAAAAATATGATAATATTTCTTCAGGGAAAGTTAGTGCAGTTAGTTACAGTGTGGGCTCCATGCTTACTGCGACAGCTTGACAGAACTTCACAAAGGGTCAATTCCTGTTCACAAATTCTCGTATTACAGTTGAACAGTGCACTAAAATATGTTTCTGAAGACACTGTAAGGGAGAAACAGGCAAGGCAGTAACAGAATCTTGGTTTATATTTGATCAGCACTGCCCAGATTTACACTTTGATCAAAGTCTGGTCTGAGTTTGATAAAAAGAGTGACAGAGTCTGTGGTGGCGGCAGACATACAAAAATGAGGAAGTAAAATCTTTAGTTGGAGAAGCAGCCGGAAAGCCAGTGAGGGAGATGAGCAAGGAGATTTGGATGCTGGTACAATGGAAGAAAATTTGCCACAGCTCATTTATACCTAATACCCACATTGTTATAACACAAAGCAGGTTTATAATCAGAAACATGTCCCTTTACACTCTGTCATCAACAGGGGCTTTTAGTATATATACAAAATGTTGCATGAGAGGTAGAGGAGAGGTTAAAGTGAAACTTGTGTGGTAAGGGATACAGGATTTTATGGCTTACTTGCTGTGGTTTATAAAAACATTTATGGCAGAGTGAATCATATGACATCATATGAAGTGGGACATCATATGACCTGCTTAAATAGGTTTATGAGGAACTGCGTAACAGTGTCATTCACTGTAGATACAATACAAGGTAGAAAAGAGGGCAAATATAAAATAGAAATAAGATGTAAATAAAAAAATGGACACAATGCCAAGATATAAATATATCAATGGTAAGGATCATAGACGTATGGAAGAGCTGGCATATAACTATGTATGTATGATGTCATATCTGAAGTAGGGCTGCAGTGATTAGTTGACTAATCTACTATTAAAATAATCTGTGACTATTGTAGTAGTTGACTAATCGGTTTGAGTAATTTTTCATAGAAAAGTACTATAAAGGTACCCTAAAATACTCTTCTTGCAGCTTCTTACGTTCAAATATTGGCAGCTTTACACACTCTCCCATGACAGTGAACTAAAACCCTTTGGCGTGAGTGCGAAACAAAACATTAGATGACATAATTTTGGGGTTTGGGCGAGACAGACCGACATTTTTCAACATTTTAACATATTTTTCGATAAAATGATTAGTTGACTAATCAAAGAAATAATTGACAGATTAGTCAACAATGAAAACAATCATTAGTTGCAGCCCTAATCTGAAAAACAGGTAGGCCTAGAGCAGGGGTGTCAAGACTTTCAGCTACCTCTCGTATCATACAGGTGATTAAAAAAAGAACAATATACAAATAAGACAAACACAACAGTTTTAACTTTCATAGAAAAAGCATTCAACTTTGTACCGCTACGGAAAGCGGTGACCCACACTATAGTCTTTATGCTACTTTGCTGTGGCCGTGTCTACTGCCGGGCAGGAAATGTCTGCTGTTAGTAACACTCTACTAAAGTTACACATACGTGTATACATGGGCAGATACACATTTCAGACATGCATAAGCTGACAGCAACATAACATATACACATAAGTACACACACGCATTCATACAAATAGATTTATACATGAGTCACGGTTGTCCATAGACAATCTACACTGTAATTTGCACTAAGTAAGACGCAATTATGAAACATCACACAGTTTTAGCGTTTTCATATATGTCAGAAATGGTCGGCATGTCATTTAAAGTTTCCCTGGAGAGCCACCCAACGTTACTTATTTTCTCCAAGTGTAGAAAACTCATAGGATCACCAGCCCACTAGACATGTGTTAGTAATTATAAGGCGTCTAGCAATTAAGGAGTCAAAGGCAATAGCATTTGTGTAGTGTCAAGGAAGAAGTATGTTCTCTGGGACTACTACGAAAATTGAAATTAGTGGGGAAGGGGTAAATCTGACTCCAGAAATAACAGAAAATATATTAAATATAATAATGTCCAACAGTCATAGTATAGTATGTTATTAATTTTTCCATAAAAAAAGTCATAGTATAGTATGTCATAAAATATTTAATCAAAATGATTATTAAGATTTTGACAAGACCAGAAAGTATGATCTGTCCCTGGATAAATCTTGGCTAACTTTTCTTTGGATAGATGAAGGCGGTGCAAGACCTTGAATTGTAGGAGGCCATGTCTGGTGCAAATTGAGGAGGAATGAACTCTTTGAAGAATGCCAGTTGTTATCTGTGATTTTGGAAGCCAAATCATCCTCCTACTGGGATCTAATAGTGCAGAGAGAGGGAGAATGTAGAGCTGATAATGTCGTATATATCACTTTGATTACTCCCTTGTTGTGCACATCAGTGTCGAGAATTCATGTGGTAAATTGGGGAACTGGGGATATCTGCTTCACATTAAATTTCTAATTTGTAAGTAACGGAAGAAATGGTTCTGTGGGATATTACACTTTTGAGTCAGTTGAGTAAATGAGGCAAATACCTGTCCTTATAATTATGTATACCATTACTGCTCCAAATCTTAAAAGTAGAATCGATTAAAGAGGGTGGAAACATGTCACTGGAGTAAACCAGAATTGACACTGAATGTGATCCAAACCTTTTCCTACACTGTGCCCAGATTCTGAGAGATTGATATAGCAAAGGATTACACTTGTAAGTGTTCAGTTCTAATCAAAGAGATGACTCAAGCAAAGCCGGCAGTGAGGTTTTACCACAGTATGATGATTCAGTATTGAGGCATGTTGGTACCTCTACACTATTCTCATGTTTAGGAGAGAAATATTATTTGTAATAGAGTAGATTTGAAATTCTAGAGGGGAGGTTTTCACCATATGGCCCTTCAAGTTACCTCTCCTGAGCAGTGCCTGCCATGTTTACTTGTTTTTAATCACATCTTGTGTGCTAATAAAATACAGTAAAAAAAAACATTTGTGAAGGTAAAAAGCATTGATTTTTGTATAGATTAATCCCGGATGTGTTTGTCTAAAGAACTGATTGTTTCTTAGAAAGGATCACCTCTGGGAGTCTGGTTAATCTAGTTTTCATTTTCCTCAGAAACACACAGGCTCATACATGTTTGTGTGCACTTTAGCTACATGACTGTTTACAGTTAGTGCCCGCCCCCCGAGCGCTCTGATTGGCTGCTGCGGGAGAATTCCTATCAACCGTTTTCCCGACGTCACATATAAATGTCCCAGGGATGGTCCCGTAGTTACTCCGCTGCTGTCTCCTCCGGGCACCACAACAAAGGAAAGGTAAAGAATATATAACTTTGTCTGCTTTTAACTCCGCTTGG